ACTTTGGAGCTGGGAGGGTGGGGTCAGTTCAATCAGACCATAGAAGGATGGTGGTCCCTGGAAGGAAACTGAGGAACCACTACTGGAGGGAAGAGGAATGGATGCTAGGTGGGGAAAAAATACCAATGAGCCTCCACCTGTCCATTTGTCCATCCATGCACACATTCTATAAGACCTCTTTGGAGCATACTTCCTACCCGTTGGGAGAGCCTGCATTCTCCTTACTTAGTGGTCCTGGTGGCTGTACCTGTGGAGAGATAGCAGGGCTGTGGTTGAGAAGGCAGCCCAGGATTAGACCCCAGATATTGACTGTCCAACTCCCTTCAGGTCTCAGGCCTGAGTGATTGGAGTCCTCCTCTCTCTATGCCTCTCAGCTAATACTGCTGGAGAGCTGAGTGGCTCCCTGGTCTCTCTTTTGTGGCCTGGGTCAGAACTCCCCAGTCAGAGGAGTGAGCAGTGACCAGACAGAGAGGCAGATCAGAGGAGGTTGTGGGGAACCATGGAGGCCATTTCTCCCCAACCCCCGGCATAAGGTAGTGGTGGGAAGGGGTGGAAACCAAGGTCTGCTTTCTTCTCTGCTCTTTCCTACTGCCTCTCTGACCATTTACTTGTTTGTGTATTTATTCAACAGATATTAAGCACCCGTTGTATATCAAGCAGATGCCTTTTCTGAAGGAGTTGGCAGGGAAAAGGGACCCAGGGCCAATGCCCGGGAACATGAGGCAGGGCCAAGGGAGTCAGCACTGGCCTTGCTCTCTTCTTGGGGATTTCATCCTTGAGAGGAGGCAGTGATAAGAATGCACTTGGGCAGACCACCTCTGAACCCCAGCTGTGCTGAATGACCTTGGGCCAGTGGCTTGACTTCTCTGTTCCCTCCTACATGATGTGTGTTAGATTTGCTTTAGCTCGAGGTGCTCCTATGAGCACCAAATGACAGCGTGCATAGCTCCTGCCTGGCAAGGGTTTGGCATACAGTAGGGACAGAGCAGTTTGTTGCTTCTGCAGCTTGCCCTGCTGAGTGATGTTGGCCTCCCCAAGGCTCAGACATGGCTTTTATGGCACAAAGGATGGAGTGTGTATGAATCTGGGCTCTTTTGTTTGTATGTGTCAGAAAACCAAACTTAAGCCCACAGAAGCTGGAAAGAATATATTGATTGAGAAAGTGACAAGTCCCAGAGCTTTGGGCACGGCTGGATTCAGGGGTTCAGTGATGCTGTCTGGCTCTGTCTCTGTCTTTCTCTCAGCTTGGCGTCTGATGACCCTGTCTCTAGCAGTCTCCGCACTCATGGCACTCAGGCAGCCCCAGCAGCTCCGAGTTTGCATCCCCTCAACTTCCTTTCCCAGTAACTGCACCGGATGTCCTGGCTTGCCTCTCACTCAACTTCCTTGGGTCTCGCACCCCATTCCCAAACCAGGAGAATGGCATATGTGAATGGCCAGCACTAGGTCACAGGCTAGTCCCTGAAGCCAGGAGTGGGGAGGCCAGCCCTTTCCAACCATGTGAAGGAGGAGGTGGGGAGAGGACTGAGGATATTTCCAGAGGAAAGGATGGATAGTGGGCCAACAAAAGCCACAGGTGCCCAGCACAGGGACTTCTTCAATATCCGCTGGTGTGTGCGGCACCTTTCCCGGGATCTGTGATGCCTCTTCCTTGTGGCCTCCTTTCCCCCAGCCCCCATGTCTCAGAATTAAAATCCTTAATATGACCAGACTAATGCAGATGTGAACCTAGCCCTTACTGAGTGTCAGGCATTCTTCTGCTACATTTATTTATCCATTTGACCCCACCTGCTGGATGCAGTAGGTGTTGCTGTTACCTTAATTTCTTAGATGAGGAAACAGGCATAGAGGTGCAGTTACTTGCCTGAGGTCACAGAGGCAGGAAGCAGTAGAGCTGGGATGTGAACCCAGGCAGTCTGGCTCTACCATGTCCCCCTGCTAACTATTCTGAGACTGTCAGTGTAGCTCGGATGTTGAGGCCCAGGAGAAGAGGACCAGGGCAGTGGAGGGTCTCCCTGCCTCTGGACTTGTTTCGCTTGGGATCTCTTTTGTTCTAGAGGAATCAGCACCTGCAGATATGGTATGTGGGTTTGCTGCTCCTACAGCTCCCAGAGGCCTCATTCTCCGACTCCACCACACCCCCTCTCACCCATCAGGTGTTCGTGGTGGCGCTGGTGGGCATCGCCCGGGCTGTGGTGTCCATGACAGTCAGCGCCTCAGATGCTGCAACTGTGGCTGATAAGGTGTGGCTGGGCCTGCCAACAAGGGGGGTGCTGGGTGCTGGGGAGAGGGGTGACTGGGGCCCCAGGCTGACACTCTGCCCACTCTGTGTCCAGATCCTGTGGGAGATTACCCGCTTCTTCCTGTTGGCCATCGAGCTGAGTGTGGTTATCCTGGGCCTTGCCTTTGGTGCGTCTGCTGCTGGGGCCAGTGCTCTCCCCGCCCCTCCCTGGCTAGGGCCTGCCCTCACCATGGTCACCTGGGCTGGCTCCTGCTGACTGAACAGCACATTTCTTCCAGGTCACCTGGAGAGCAAGTCGAGCATCAAGCGGGTGCTGGCCATCACTACGGTGCTGTCCCTGGCCTACTCTGTAACCCAGGTAAGGTTGGTGAGGTGGGACAGGGTGGCCTCGGGGACTTCCTGGAGGAGGCCTATAGTCAGTGAGGGCCAGGTACCTACCAACTTCTGGTCCTGGATCAGGGTTTGAATGTTAATCATGTATAGTGTTCTCAAACTTTAAATGCATCTAAAGAATTACCTGGGATGTTTGTTGTTAGCAAAGTAGGTTCTGGGGCCCCCTCAGAGTCTCATTCAGTAGGTCAGGGTTGGGGAGGGGAGGATGCCCAGAACCTACTATTTTAACAGGCAGCCCAGGTAGGAGGATGCAGGTCTGCAGACCACACTGAGAGCCTTGCTTCCAGAGATCTTTCTTAGATTGGGGCAAGAGCTGCCCCTTGCCTCAGTCTTGGCCTGTTCTGGGTGCTGGGGCTAGATGGGCAGGGTATGGCTGGAAAGCAGGTAAGGCAGGAACTTCTGAGGGCCAGGCCTGGGCTGGGTCCGGTGGGGTGGAGAGCTTCAGGGCTCTGTATCACGGAAAGCCCCAGGAAGGGGGCTTTCCAGGTGGCAAGAGCCTGTGAGATCCTCCCCTGCCTGCCCCTGCAGGGGACGCTGGAGATCCTCTACCCTGATTCCCACCTCTCAGCTGAGGACTTCAACATCTATGGGCATGGAGGCCGCCAGTTCTGGCTGGTCAGCTCCTGCTTCTTCTTCCTGGTGAGGCAGAGGGTGGGCCCCAAGCCTGAGTACCTAGGGGTGGCAGGGTGAGCCGGAGCCTGGATGCCTTGGTACGTCTAGCTCTGGGCCTCGTACTCCCAGCATCCTTCTCATTCCCACTCTGTATCTGCAGGTGTACTCTCTGGTGGTCATACTTCCCAAGACTCCGCTAAAGGAGCGCATCTCCCTGCCTTGTGAGCAGCTCTGGGACACAGCTGGGCACGGGGGTGGTGGTGGGTCTGTTTGGGCCACTGTGGCCTGGAGATGGAGAGGCGTGGGTGGGAGGCGAGAGGGAGGCCTCCCAGGGGCTCAAGGGGTGGAGGAGAGGGCAGGACCTCATTTCCCTCACCCTCCAGCGCGGAGGAGCTTCTACGTGTACACAGGCATCCTGGCGCTGCTCAACCTGCTGCAGGGGCTAGGGAGTGCGTTGCTCTGTGCTGACATCATCGAGGGGCTCTGGTAGGTGAAGCAGAGGGCGCCGGGAGGGGGAGGACCTGCCAATGAGGCTCACTCTGACCCGCTTCCCTTCTTCCAGCTGTGTGGACGCCACCACGTTCCTCTACTTCAGCTTCTTTGCACCCCTCATATACGTGGCCTTCCTCCGGGGCTTCTTCGGGTGAGTTCTTCCACAGGGGCTTACTGGGCTGGTGGACTGGGGCTCCTAGTGGAGCTCCGCCCACAGTCCTGGGTTGGAGGGCTGTGGGCGCCCCCGTGTGGCTTCCAGAAGAACCGCGCCGTCTGCATTCTGTGGCATAGAACAGTGTCTTGAGCCTCCCTGTTCCCTGTGGAGGTGCAGGTTTCATCAGGACAGAGGAGGCAGATGGAGTTTGTATATTTACATACACATGTATACATATACACACATGCACATATGCACACTCGTCCTCACATATACATGCATATATACACATATACATGCATATATGTATATAACATGTATTTACATATATACACATATAAACAGACACACACGTACATATAATATATGCAACACCCACAGACATATACATTTTCCCCACAAGAGAGAAAGTGGCTATGCACATCGTTCTACAGTTGCTATATTTCATTTAAGAATAGATTAGTCCATTCCTTCAGCATACTTTCACACTGCTGTAGCCCCGCACACAATCAGGAAGAAAGTAGACACAAATGTACATGCAGCTTGTATTCTAGCTGGGGGCAGTTGGGGAGCGGATCAGGATTGGGGGGAGTCTGGTATACATTTGAGCATGAGATGGGGTGTACTTTTGTACACATGTGTGTTCGGAGGTGTGTCAAGGAGACAGGTGAGACATATGAGATTGAGGGATAGACCCTAGGCCTCTAAGGTGATGGATACAAGGGCATTTTTCCCCAACATCCTTCTCCACCTTCCAGGTGTGAGGGTAGGTTGAGGCATCTTCTTCTCACATGGAAATGCTGAGCGAGGGCTTTAGAGATGGAGTGAAAAGGACTAGCTTTCTCTCAGCCCAATCCCAGTCTGTTCTCAGGCTCCTGTTTGTAAATTGGGTACAATGCTTTCTCTCTCAGAAATGATCCTAAGGGTTGAAGGATCAGGTGAGTAAAGAGTGGGTAGTATAAGAGCTGCAGGGGTGGAGGTTATGGCCAATGCTTGCTGAGCACATTTGGCCAGGTATTGTTTCAGCCTGTTTACCCTCCACAAAGAGCCTTTGAGGTCGGGGTTGTTGCATGCATTTTGGGTGAGAAATGACACAGAAGCTCTACAGCCAAGCTCACACAGCCAGGAGGTGGAGGAGGAGGCTGGGTTTTAGTCCTATTAGACTCTACAGACCAAGTAATAGGGACCTCTGGGCAGGTGTTAGGCAGCCATTAACGTATTTCCTCCTGGTCTTATGGCCTCATTGCCCGGCGAGGGAGGGCCTTTCCAGACTCAAACAGTGGTACTCCCTTGCCCCTCTGTCCTCCCTATCAGCTCGGAGCCCAAGATCCTCTTCTCCTACAAATGCCAAGTGGACGAGACTGAAGAACCAGATATGCACCTTCCCCAGTCCTACGCTGTGGCCCGGCGAGAAGGCCTGGAGGCGGCGGGTGCTGCCAGCACACAGTTCGACTCAGCTGGTGGGGTGGCCTACCTGGATGATATTGCTTCCATGCCCTGCCACACCGGCAGCATCAATAGCACGGACAGTGAGCGCTGGAAGGCTCTCAATGCCTAAATGTGGCTGCCCTGGCTGGAAGGTGTGCTGGGGCCTGTGGAGGGCAGACCAGACAAGAGGCCAGGGAATATAGAGTTCCCAGAGGAGGACAAGGTCACGGGAGTTTGTGTGTATAGCAGACCTATGCAGGCCTTGTCTTGCTCTCTGGGCCCCCAATTGCCCTTGGCCACCTTTGCTCCACCTGGGGGCCACCACCCCTTCCGCATGTCCTTGCCTTGCTCAGTGACATGGCCCAGACTTTGATCTCCCAGGGCCAGGCCTGGCTAGGCTGGCTGAGGGCACCACCTTTCTCCAAAGGAAAAAGCCTGGGTATCCAAGACTGGTCTGCCCCCCCGCCCCCAAGTGCTTTGGCCTCCTCAAAGCCCACTCTGGCAGGTGGGCTGAAGTGTGTATATTTTCTTGATTTATTTTTTAATAAAAAGGAAAAAGAGCAGAAGGTGTTGCTGTGGAGGTTCTTCAGGAATAGAGGCCTGGTTCCTTTTAGGAGCCCAAGGGCTAGGTTGTTCAAAGGTCCTAGCAAGTCCCTCTAGGGGCTCAACCAAGGAACACTGGCTAGTGCGCAGGCCCTGCTGGCCATTGGGAGGTAGGGAGAAGTTGTGGAGGAGACAGATGTGGAAAAAACTGTGGTTTCTCTGGGCTGTCTCCTCGCCCTGTTGAGGAGTGTGGGATTGCAGTAAGCCTTACGGGTCCTGTCCTTTTTCTGCTCCTATTGCCCTGTTGACTTGAGCTAGCCACTTCCCCTCCCCCAGCTCTAGTTTTACCATCTGTAAAATGGGAATAAGAAAGCCTGTGTTGCAAGGGTTTTTGTAAGGACTGGAGTATAGTAAGTGTAAATAGCTGACATTTGGGAATGGAGCAATAGTGATAACATATCATTGGCCTCTAAAACAGTGCTTGGCACACAGTAGGCACTCAGAAGATAGGATGCTAGGGAGTGACATTTGTAATTAGAATGGATGTGATGAGCTGAAAATGGAGAAAGAGTAAAACACTGAGAAAATGGAAATAAGAGGGAGGTTCACATGTCCATACTGCTGCCGGTGTAGCTAATTTTGGTTTTGTGTACAATTTACAGAGGAAAAAGGAAGTTGCCAGTTATATAATCCTCACTGTCAGAGGGGAAAAGGTCTAGGCCATGACAGTGGGGGTGCTAAGGATCGGGCCTGGCGCCCACCTCCATTGCCACCCTTTTTCGTAGGATGGCACCAAAGGCACCAACTCTGACACAGCTCATGACAGTGAGGCCAACGTGCCAGGCTCCCCAGGATCCAGGGCCCAGAGGGCTGTCAGTGGCATGGGCATGGCAAGTGCAAAGGCACAGCCAGTGGGCTGGGCTCCCAGCTGAGGGAACTCCAGGGCTGCTTGGGAATCTCCACATGGCACACTTTGCTGCGACCTCACAGCTTTCGAAGAATCCTGTTAGGCAGGAAAGGAAAGCCTGAAAGTATTGGGGGCCAGATGGGGGTTTGATGGTCAAATCTAGGGCTGGGTTCACCATCGGGAACCTTTGATGTGTGCACAATCTAAGCCGTTGCAACGACAGCCTGGTTGGCACGGTGAGATTACTGAGTAAGCAGCCAAGTCCTTAGGGAGGTGTCAATAGAAGAAAAGAGGTTAGAAACCTGCTTTTTTGTTCTGATTTTAAAATTTGTTTCTTTAAATAAATAATCTACGTGACCAAAAGAAGTCATGCATTGCAAGGGGGTATACAGTAGGAGGCGAATCTCTTTGACTTTGACATTGTTTCTTGTCCTGCTCCCAGAAGCACTGTGAAGCCAGGGTCTCCATAGCCTTCTGGAAGTATATGTGTGCGTGTGTGTGTGTATTACCCCTGGTTTGGGATTGTAAATGCCCCGTAGTTTTCTCCAGTTGACAATTGATCTGGAGATCATTCATTCTGGCAGCTGCATGCATTATGGATACATGGCAATTTATCTAACCAGTCCCCTCGGGATGTACTTTTGTTTTTAATATATTTTGCAACAACAAACAATGCAGCAATAAAAATTCTTATAAATATGCTTTTGGTAACTCATGCAAGTGGAATTGCTGGAACACATAGTCTTAATTAATTTTAATTATACTTATAGTCTGGCAGATGATAATAGCTGTCCCCTAGTATATGTTCTCCTTTTCCTGTGGTAGAATGCCTGATTTTTAGCTGGATACTGAGCTTCCTGGAATAAAGATGACATTTTATAGCCTTCCTTGCAGGTGGATGTGGCCATGTGACTAAATTCTAGTCAATGGGATGTAAGTGTGCATACAACACCCTCAGAGAGAGAGGGTAAGCTCTGTTCTTTCCTCTTAACTAGATTGTGGTTGCAATGGCTGGAGTTGTAGCAACCATATTGAATCATAGGGTTGTCTTGGGAATGGAAGCCTCTTGGGGCAGTGCAACAAGATAAAAGGAGCCCATGTCCCTGACATGTGGCTCATCTATAACAGCCCTGGGTCTCCTACCTTCAGATGACTTTTTGAATGTGAGACATAAATATCTATCTCATTTAAACCACTTTGGATTTTTCTGTTATAGTTGAACTTAATCTAAACCAATACTCCTTTCATAGAGACTGGACCAGTTTTAACTTCTACCAGCACAGCCTCACTGACTGTTCAAATTTTTGATCTTTCCGAAGAGCCCTCCTCATGTTTGTTCTGCTTGGACCACATCTTGTGTGCTGTGCCTGGGTAGGAACAGACATCATGTAGAAAAGTGGCCAGGATGCGAGGGGTTCTGAAAGTCTTGATATGGTGATGGAGTTCACCATATGTGGCCCAAGTTCCAGTCTTATCTCTCTAGTGCTCATGCTCATGGCTGTGGTCCCTGGGGAAGTCGTCTTCTCTATGACCCTCAGTTTCTTCATCGATGACACAAAGTAACAGAGGACTGGTTGTCACCTGATGATACCTGAATGGTCAAATAGAAAGACAAAACAAGCTCTGACCCTAATGATGCTGCTGCTGCCGTACCAGCATTGGGCTGCTACCAAGAGACTTCTTTTACATGAGAGAAACGATCTTGTTTATGGCAAGCCCAATCCTAACTGAAACACATGAGGGTGATGGTATGCCCCTCACTTGAGGGGGACAGGATAATATTTTGAGAAACCAATTTTTGTCTTTTTCTTCTTGAACTTCACCCTTCTCTTCCCTTCCACATCACAGGAGTTTGGTCCTGGACTTCCTTGCCCAGGAAGGCTCACAGCTGGTGGATTACTTTCTGACTTTGTTTTCAAATGCCCAGGGTTACAGAGAGCAGCAAGGGCTTGTGGAAAGAAACAGGCGAGCATTCCCTTGGGAATGAGGTCTGTGTGTCCCTGAGCACTGGGACTCCAGGTATGAAGGCCAGGCTCTAGATGGCACACTTATGAATTTAGGGAGGAAGACTCTGCACACAGGTTTCTCAGCTGCTATAAAGGGTCTCCCAGCCTTTGTGTGGCATCGACAAAGCAGAGCTCTTGAGACCTGCAGGTCCCCGTGGCCAGGAGCACTGGAGGTTCAGTGATAACTGATGTGAACACATGACCGGTGGGGTACTAATTTGCTCGGATACCATAACAAAGTACTACAGACTGGGTGGCTTCAACAACAGACATTTATTGTCTCACAGTTCTGGAGGCTGAAAGTTCAAGATCAAGATGTCAGCAGGGTTCATTCTTTCTGAGGCCTCTCCTCAGCTTGCAGACGGTCACCTTCTCACTGTGTCCTTTCTTCTGTGCATGCCCACCCCTGGTGTCTCTCTGTGTGCCCCAATTTCCTCTTCCTATAGGGGCACCAGTCAGGTTGGATTAGAACTCACCCTAATGGCTTCATTTTAACTTAGTCATTTCTTAAAGGCTTTATCTCCAAATACAGTCATATTCTGAGGTATTGAGGGTTAGGGCTACAACATGTGAATTTTGAGGTGACACAATTCAGTCCATAGCAAATGGCACTAAAGCTTCTCTCCCTGACATTCTGACACTGTGCAAGATCCTGGGACCTTGGCCAAATCCATGGACCAGGTAGAAAACCCTCAAAAATAACTGAGGTTAAATCTTTCGCCTACTCAGAGGAATAGAGTCCAGCTGGAAATTAGCAGCCTTCTAGGAAACCCCTCAGGCTTGTAGACTGGGATTCACAGCACCTGTGTAAGAAGGTTCCCTTGGGGAACACTCATACATTCTGCTTCCCCTCCTCCTGGATATACATATAGAGCTATTATACTTCACCCCCTTTGAAGGGGATAAAGCTATGTGACATACTTTGACTAATGAAATGTGAGTAGAAGTGCAAGGTGTCACTTCTAGGTAGAAGTATTTAATTGCCAGCACATTACTCTGTCCTGCCACAGTAATGGTAGGGCCGTGTCAAAACAGAGCCTCTGTCAGTCTGTCGCTTAGGGACCTCCATGAGAAGAGTTCCTCTGCTAAGCTGCATTGAACATGTAGCCAGAATGAGAAGTAAATCTTTGTCCTTTAAGCGCTAAGATTTGGGGTTGTTTGTTACTGCAGCATATCCTAGCATATCCTGCTTGATGCAAGAGTTAAATGAGATAGGCCACTTGGTATACAGTAGGTGCTTAGTTAATTGGATTTCCAACAAATAAGGAGAGCAAGATCTTAGCTAGGAGCGAGGAACAGCACTGGGTTCACAGGATCACCCCCTCGTCTTCTATCTCATAGGCCTCATTTTTAGACCTCATAGATCATTCTGTCAGCTTCACATAAAAGTTGTCTCACCCCTTTGTGGATTCATTTCCTCAGAAGAGCCAGGCTTGTAACCCAAACACCCTAGCCTTCCTGCTCCCTCCAGGTTCCAGCAACATCACTTCTGCTTTGGGGTTGGGACCTCTGTGATCTTGGAGAGAAGCTGATACGTTGTGGTGGCATCAGCTTGCTTCTGGAGATGGGGCCTGTGAAGTTGAGAAAACACCGACATCCATTGCTACTATATTAGAGTGTCTCTGGTTCCCTGTGCTGACCCTCCTTCTGGAATGCTGACATAGGAGGCATTGTTCCTTCCCTGACAAGCTGCCTGTACTTTGCAGTCCCAGGCCCTGAGCCCAGGAGGAGTAGGCATGTTCTCTCCTAGGGATGGGGGAATGGCTCTTCTTAGAGCCACTAGCTTCTTGGGCCCATCGCCAACAATGCTTAGGTTGCCTGCACCTGCCACATAGGCTGTCCAGCCCATGTCACCAAGCCTGTGGCAGATGGGCTGCTTGAGATAACTCCCACTTCTCCCTGAGTCTGCTCTTCTGCATCCCCAGGGCAGGCGGTCACAAGGGGGCATAGCTAGCCCAGGGACGCAGGTGCTGAACCATCGGAAAGGATGGCTGTAGCCACCAGCAACATGCGTCTTCAGTATCAGAAGTGGGTTTGTGGAAAATTGAAGTGTCAGAAGTACCCGCTTGAATCTACGTGCCAGTGAACAGATCGGTGTGAGCGGTCT